AGCATGTATTGCCCTAGTGTATGTGCCACAGGAGGGCGAGAGGAATTACATGTAGACCTCAGGTATCTACCTGAGATCTTCTCGGAAGTCTCTCTGCCAATTGTGACTAAAAACAAACAAGTGTAGCAACGCTGGCCCAAAGCAGATGTGGTTGCTAGGTGCCCTCACTCTCTCCCGAATGAGAGTTTGGATTCACCACCAGGAAATCACTGAGAACACCAGACAGGAAAGCTGAGAAGAGGAATGTAAAATGGTCAGTGCAAGAGGAAGATGAGTACCAGTTGGCCTTGAGACCAACTCCAATGAACGGAGATGTCATGTATCCCTCTAGCCTCTCTCCTTTAAGTCTGTCTTCAGGAAGAAAAGCACACTGGAACCCTGGAGGAGCGACTCCCCAGATGCACATGGAGAAATGGATCTGCAGTATGAGATGAAAGACTGGAGCATCTAATTGTGCACTGCACACATTTTCCATCAGGAAGGAACTTGATGTTTAGCTGTGAGGTGTGCAGGTAGCTGACAGCCTCCAGCTTCAGTGGATTTGGGATCTGCTACAATGCGTGAGCCAAGGCCACATTCTTCCTGGATATCCCCCATCCCCACTAGTGACAGCACAGTGGAGGTACTAGTGCTTGGCCACTCGTGCCCAACACACAACTCTCGAAGGACAGGCTGTGCTCTGAAGTTTTGTATGGATTTGGTCAAGACTTTGTGGAATGTATCATTCTTGGTTTTCTTCCTGATCTTACTTCCTCACTTCCTCCTTTATTTTCTTTTACAAGTGTTATCTGCCCTTTTCCTTAAACAAACAATAACAACGAAATGCACAAAAACCCCAAACCAAAACTCTTGTACTTCTAAATCCATCTTAGAGTCTGCTTCCCAGTGGAGCTGAGATGACACCTATGTTTTGGCACGCTAGGCTTTTCCTTTTTGGCAACTAATATAACATTAACTGATGCATCAATTATGTAACGATTTCTTTACTTACATTGTCTACTACAACAAACTCTTTGAGAGCAACTGCTAGATCTCTTTTTTCACAACTGTATTCCCAGGGCCTAGTATAGGGCCAACTACTCAGTAAATCTTCCCAATCCCTGGAGAGCTGTACCTATATTTGTATTTGGCCATCCTGAGTATACTATTCCAATTTGTGCCAGGTGTGGGATGTGCACTGGATGTGCGCAGAAGGGCTCCCACAAGGCTCACTCATTGCATTTGACTGCCCAGATCATTTCTGCTAAGTCAGTGGTTCTCAAATGTCAGCCTGCATCAGAACCACCTGCAGAGCTTGTTTAAACACAGACAACTGAGTCCTCCTCCCAGAGTTTCTGACTTAGCAGGTCAGAGTGGAACCTGAGAATGTCCATGTTTGACATGTTTCCAGATGCTGCTGCTCTTCTGGCCAGGACCACCATTTGTGAATCTCTGCCTTAGGCTCTTGGCCTCTACTTACTAGCAGATGAACCCAGCCTCTTTCTGAGTTGCCTTCATGTGCTCTTGCTCTTTCACCAATCTTATCAATGCTCACACGCCCCAGAGCACTGCCCACTTGTTTGCCTTTTCCTTAGGCAACCTCAGCCTCAAGCAGAGCTTTTTTTTCCCCGGCCCCCCCGCACCCCCTACAAGTGACTATATCTCACATTCTTGTCTTAAGCCCATGCTTTGCTCTTCGGTTCAGGGTCAAAATTCCATCTACTAGTTACAAAAAAGAAAAAGAAAAAAGCTGCATTGTGTATAGGGGGATCCTGGTTTACAGTAACAGCAGCAAGAAAAACGGATGACAACCACTTTGAACCTCAGTTTTCTCATTTGTAAAAATGAGAACAAGAATACTTATCCATAAAGAATTGTCATTAAGGTCAAATAAGCAAATGAATATGGGGCCAGAAAATATAGCTGAGGACATGTAAGATATTAAGCAGTGGATAGAGCTGGAGGCCGTTATTCTAAGTGAAGTAACTCACCTATTATTTGAAAACCAAATATTGTATGTTCTCAGTTGTAAGTAGGAGCCAAGCTATGGGCACACAAAGGTATATAGAGTGGTAGAACAGACACTGGAGACTCGGGAGTGGGTGAGGAGAGGGGAAGGAGGGATATACTACTTGGGGGACTGTTACACTAACATCTCAGATCTCACCACTATGCAATTCATTCATGTAATAATAAACCACTTTCACCCTACAAGCTATTGAAATAGAAAATATTTTTAAAAATAAAAATATATTAAGTGATGTCCATAACAGGCAAATGATCAAATGTGTGCCAGTTATACTTGGGGGGGATGAAGGGAAACATGCTTAATTGCATAGGATTTTTAAATAGCTCTATTTTCTAAAATGTGTCTTTCCTTAGTACCCTTCCCCTACAAAAGGGACTATAAATTTAGAATCTTCTGTTTAAAGTTCCGCAAAAAATGGTATTTTTTCCTCTCCAGAAAAAAAACAGAAAATCAAAATCTCCTTATTTTCCCGGAATAGAATGAGGCAAGTATTTAGTACTTTGTATCTGTTATTAGATACTATATTTTTATTTCACTATTTATATCAAAGCTAGAAAGTTCAGAAAAAACTGCTGAAGCTATCATGAATGTAAATTTAATTTCTTAATAAAACCCAGAAGACATACATAGCAAACTCAATATCCTACAACAAATACATCTAGAAAATAAGTTCTTTATCAAAATGCATTCTTGCTTCCTTCAAGCATGGTATAAAGTGGTAATAAGCTTATCACAGGGGAAAACAACTATTTTTGAGCCATTAACATCTAACAGTTCCAGAATGCAACAACTGTTACCAACTTGTGACAATTCCATTATATACATGGCTAAAAAGTTTTCCTGGGAGAGTGTACAAAATCTATTACCAAACCTATCAAAAGTGAGCCATATAATAAAAAATGACTGAATAAAAACACAGAAAGCAAAACCCAAAACGACACACACACAAAAGAAGAAAAAAAGAGAAATCCTTTCTAAATAGGGAAAACATTGAATAAATTCCTTGAAGACAAGAGTTGGCTCTTGGAAAGCATGCCTACCCTACAACCAGCGCTGGGCATTGCTATTACCATTTTCCGCCTCAGTAACAGTGGACTACTCCAGCTAAAAGACCACAGGTAACCTTTGCAGCTGACCTGTGAAACCAAGATTTCCAATTGCAGCTGTCACTTTCATAGAGTAGCACAATTAAAACAACAGAAACGCTTACATTTAATTTCCTTAACATCAGATACAATGCTACAAATGGGTGGGAAATGCAAACTTGGAAAAACAAGTAAGTTAACAAGGACGTGAATGACTGTACTCAATACCAAAGATGATATTACCATTTCACAGAGGAAGAAATTAAAATTGAGAGAGGTTAACAATTGTGCCCAAGGCCACACAGCTACTAAGCAAACCAGATCTATGCAAAGCAAAGCCCATGCAGGACTGTAACCGCTGTACCCCACTTCCTTCTTAGCTTTATACTAAGCTGTGCCATTTGCCCCAGGGCTGGCTTAAAGGCCAGCCACACTCCATACACTTCACCGCTAATAACATTTAGGATTACAGTTCCTCTTATGCCCTATAAATAAAACAAGAACAGATCTTTTTCTCTAACATCTGCACTAAAGCTGTGGAATAATATGCCGTTATACTTGAAAGGAATATACATAAAGCCTGACTGAAGGTCTGATGTAAGCTTCTAAACACCAAAGTGTGATTATAACCTAATGGGGGTCCTTCCTGAACTTCACTGAAGCACTGTGATCCACTGAGTCATTCTAAAACAGTCTTAGAGAATGAATGGCTGAAAGCATGACAGACAAGTTTTACATGCGAAAAAAGTTGATCTAATTTAATGGTTCATAATTTTAAAAGTTGTGTTGATTGCAAATTCAATTATTTTATTTATTTATTTTATTTTGAGAGACAAGGTTTTGCTCTGTCTCCTTGGCTGGAGTGCAGTGGTGCGATCATGGCTCACTGCAGCCTCGACCTTCTGGGCTCAAGTGATCTTCCTGCCTCAACTTCCTGAGTAGCTGGGACTACAGGAATGCAACACCACGTCCAGCTATTTTTTGCAGTTTTTATAGAGACGGGGTTTCACCATGTTTCCCCGGCTGGCCTTGAACTCCTGTTCTCAAGTGATCTTCCTGCCTCAGCTTCCCAAAGTCTTGGGACTATAGGCATGAGCCACCGTACTTGGCCACAAATTCTTTTTATTCATTTTTTTTTTGAGATGGAGTCTTGCTCTGTCACCCAGGCTGGAGTACAGTGGCACAATCTGGGCTCACTGCAACCTATGCCGGGTTCAAGCAATTCTTCTGCCTCTGCCTCCTGACTAGCTGGGACTACAGGCACACACCACCATGCCTGGCTAATTTTTGAACTTTTAGTAGAGATGGGGTGTCGCCATTTTGGCCAGGTTGGTCTCGAACTCCTGACCTTGTGATTCACCTGCCTCGGCCTCCCAAAGTGCTGGGATTACAGGCATGAGCCACCACACCCGGCCACAAATTCATTTTTAAAAACTCACCAATTCTTTTTAATTTGGGACAGACATTGATTATCAGTATGAAACATGCCCTTTTCTAAGTATTTATTTTCTGAAAAAAAATATATATTTAAATATCTGAGGCAGAAATTAATGGAAAATTTCAAGATACATGTGACAACCTTTAGATCCCAAAGGCATTTGTTCACTTGTTTGATAATTGTAATGCAATTCATTTGTTGTATGAAATGAAACAGTTTTTGAGTAAGAGTCATCTAAGCTGTGGGAGTAACAGAATTATTTCTCAGCTCTATCAACACAGAGATTTCACAAACTGAAGCCCTGTTGTCCATCAAGGCAGCCACACAGCACCACAGTGGTTTCTGTGGTTGGACCTCTTCTCTCCCATTACAGGCAACTGGCAGAACTGGGAGTCTGGCATTTCAGAACAGAATAGGATATAGGTTTCTCCCATCTTCCTGCAATAGACTTAAAAAAATAAGCCCTTACCAGGAAGTTCCAGTTAGCTTCAATTTGAGTCACCATGCCGGAGAGGAACATGCCCAGAAAGAGAAGCGAAAAGAAAAACGCCGTCACGGACACAAACATGACCCATCCTTGTAGCAGAGGTAGAGGAACATTGGAGGAGGCAACCAAAATCCAGACGAGACCCCCGAACAGCTGAAAGAAAAATAGAAAGAGGGTAATTGGTTTGCTTAAAAGATACTTTTCATACAACAGAATTCAACATGCTTGTATTACCCTCAGTGTTGCCTTCATTTTCCTCCCAGACCCCTGCACATATTCCAGCAACCCCACCCCTTCGATTTTCTCCTTATCATGCAAGACGCCTTCTTTCCTCAGGTGCAAGACCAATCCTTTGGCTTGGAGAACTGATCCATCTCCACACCTGTATCTTCAAGTTGGACTCTCTTCTTCAACCCATGTACATGCCCAGCATTCCTTCATCATTGACAAATACCTTCCTTTGACTTTATCGATTCTCTGACTACCACCTTTTCAATGAAGGTATTTTTTCAGTCAACCACACAGTAAGGGGAACATCACACACCGGGGCCTGTTGTGGGGTGGGGGGAGTGGGGAGGGATAGCATTAGGAGATATACCTAATGTAAATGACGAGTTAATGGGTGCAGCACACCAACATGGCACATGTATACATATGTAACAAACCTGCACATTGTGCACATGTACAATAGAACATAAAGCATTAAAAAAACAACAAAAAAGAAAATCATTGTCTATCCCAAGGCCATGAAGATACTCTGTTAGGTGTTTCTTCTAAAACCTTCATTATTTTTACTTTTCACATTTAAATCTACAACCTGTCTTATACTGATTTTTGCATTTGGTATGAGGTAGGGGGTCAAGATTCAGTTTTTCCCCATATGTATATTCAATTGACCCAGTGTCATTTACTGAAATGACCATACTTTCAAGAGTCTACTGTTGTCAATCAGGAGACCATATGCTGTGGGTTTGGTTCTGTTCCATTCTGTTCCACTGGGCTATCATTATGACAAAATATTGCACTGTCTTTAGACTAATCCCCTAAGCACCTGACATTTTAAAAAATCAGTAAATAGCATCATTTAAAAACTTCATGTTCTATTTGTCATGAGAATATAAATAAAATATATATTTACTGATCTTAAAAAAAAAAAAAATCTTTGCCTGGTCTCCACTTCCTCTCCCTGAAGTTGCTCTTCATATCACTATAAACCAGCTCCTGATCTCATTGCTCCTTAGAGAGTTTGTTAGTAAAAAATGGCTAGAATAATAGTTGCAGCTGTTGTATATGGTGGTAAACAATAAAAACTACCATCATTTATTGAGTATCTATTATGTATTGGACAGAGGAATAAGTACTTCACATATCTGTGGATCTAAGTATCAATAAATACCTATTACATTTCAGGCTTTATGCCAGGTGCTGGGAATCAAATGGTAAACAGGTTACACTTGGTTTCTATCACCACAGAAATCACAGTCTATTAAAGAGACAAGTAAGTAAGTGATTAAAAAGCTGCTTCATAAATGTCACAATTGGGCAAATACTGGGCACTGCAGGTCCACACAGCAAGGGCTCTAAATCCAGATTTGAGAATGCTTCCTAGAAGCAACGATTCAAAGCACAGGGCTATGGGGTAACGCAGAGGGAGGAAAGGGAGGTTCCAGAACGGGAGCTGAAAGGAGCCCCGCACAGGTGAAGAACAAAGCTCAGCAAGACAGGAGGGTCATGCGCTGGTGGGGAATGGAGAGAACTGGACTGGAGACTGAGCGAGGAGGTGCTGAAGCTCGGGCCAAGGAACCGAACTTCACCTAAGGGCGACGGCAAAGCCAAGATCATCTTGAGCAGAAACTAGCATGATCAAGATTTGTCTTTGGAAATTTTTCTCTGGCTAGAATGTGAGAACAGACTGGAGAAGAAAGGGTGGATGGCGGGGGAGCACATCTCTGTGTTTCTCTAGCTCTATCAACACAGAGATTTCACTAACATGGTGTAACACAGGAGACTGTTACACCACCAGAGTGTAAGAATCAGAACACTGAGGACAGAGAGAAAGGAACAGATTAGAGTGAAATTTAGAAGTAGACATGATAATAGTTGGTAACGGATCAGATGTGAGACACGACAGAAAAAGGACAGATAAGGAAAATCCTCAGATTTCTGGCATGGGCCACTAGGCTTGAGAGAACACTGCAGGAGAAATGGTGTGAAGACAATGAGTTTTATGCATCTATCACCATTGGTCTCCTCCATACTACCATGCATTCTTTGCATGGCATTCCAAGCCATTTGTGACCTGACATGTCTTTTTCATCCTTGTCTCTTGCCACTATGCTCCTCACATTTTGTATTAGGGCGAGAAAAAAAATCCAGAGTTCCAAGACAAAGATCTTTCACATCAGAGTGGCCTGCTACTTGCATGCCGTAAATGTCATTTCCTCCCTATGTGTACTTGAGATTCTCCCACTCATATCTAATCTTGAGCACATCATTTACAACATTTTTCCTGAGATCCACCCCTGCTCAGTTATGCCTCCCTCCTCTGGGCAACCTCCCTATTGGGCTTTGTTACATCAGTGAGATACACTGTAATTAAATCCCTTTGGCTCTCCATCTGCACTACCAGGCCTTCTTGGCAGCATACTGTTTTATATGTCTCTGCATCCCGTCATTTATTAATCTACACAATAATCCTTTCCTAACCGTCAGTCAGGTACTATGCTAGATTTGGCAGCACAAAACCTTAGGCGACATACCTGCCCTGAAGACACTTCAAGCGAGAATCAATCTCTCTCTCTCTCTCACACACACACACACCCAGAGAGAGTGAGAGATAGAGCACGTGCTCAATTATTTGCTTAGTAAACAAGTTAGTGCTCATATGAGAACCGTTTGAGCTCCAAATATTAAAAATCAATACTCATCTTTACATTGCATTTAAGTATCTAGATATCCAAATTACTCCACAAGTCACTGAAAGTTAAAAACACAAGTTTTTAATTATATAATTATATAATTTGTTACTACTTTGAAGAAACATTTTTGAAAGCATAAATGATCACTTGAGCAATGATAAATCACCAGTCTAAAAAAATGTACAGTTGTGGTGTATACCTCGATTCCTAATGTCAAATCAAAAATTAACAATTGATGCAGAAAGTGTTATGAAAGAAATCTAATGAATATCAATGCATCTTAAAAATTTAACCACCACCTTATCAGTGCCTATAAAAGAAACAAACTTGTTCCTGATAAAATATTATTTACCTTTACATACTATTAAATAAATAACTGAAGGTGATAAGAATGTCTTCAGTGGATCAATCTTTCCTCTTTTTCCACTTTCTTCTTTCTGGTGGCCTTTTCTTACTCTCCCACAAAGAATAATCTACATAACTTTAAATACAGTTTAAGAAATATACATCATTATTAAATATCTCTTCAGAGTTATTTCCTGAGAACCTATGTGCAAATACAAAGGATAATAAAAAGCAAGTGGCCACTGTTTGTTAGGGACAGGCAGAGCCAAATAGATAAACATAATAATATGAGTTAGGGATTATGATACATTCACACCTGTAAGGAGGAGGCTGTATGATCCTTTGGAATTAAACACAGCATTTACTCAACCCAGAGTGGACCTCAAACAGGCCAGCCCCGAACCTACTGCTAGGCACTGTAGAAGAACACTCAGGAAAAAACAAAAAAGGCAAGGTTCCATCTCCAGGAGCTCGAAATAAGAAAGAAACAGACACCATTAAACTGATTCAGGAGCAGATTGTAGTGGGTGCTATAAAAAGAGCTCAACACAGTGTGCTCTGAGAGGCTGGGAGAGGAGAGAAGAAATATAATGGGAAGAATCTGGAAAGGTAGGCAGGAGAGGCAGGCTTCAGAGTAAGCTTCAAGACAGACCAAGACTTTGACAGCAGAGGTTATACTGTAAAGCAGTATAGATTAACTGTTCTTATCGTACTCAGAATTATAGCCCTTCAAACATCTCAAAGGCTTGGAAAGGAAACTAAGTGCTGCATGAACAGGAGTCAGATTTGCCTCCTCACTTGTGGGTATGTGCTGCATGGAAAGGGGAGAGGGAAGGAGTGTATGAATGCTCCCTCTCTCTCACTCACGTAAATACATATGATACAGCCCTAGAGCTGAGATTCTGTGAAATCTAGGCTTGCTTTAGAAGACAGAGGATAGACCAAAGAACATAACTGAGCCCCCTTTGGAGGGCCACCATCCTCATTTTGCGATTGTCATATTGCTGTATGGGTCACTCTGGCCTTGACATAGTTATTATTCCCTACTTTGTGATTTCCTTTTGACAAAAGCTACTTTTCTTCTCGAGCTTCCCAATTTAGTTCCAACCTAAAAAACTGAACTTAAAAACTTGACATGACCAACGCTCAGTATATTCACTTCATCTAATTCTGGGCATTAGTGAGCTTAGAGTGTTTGCAAACTAATGTAATTATGAGCATTCTTGTTTAGCAGAGATGACTCCGGAGGTGGTCTTATTTTTAGAGGTAAAAAGCAGAACACAAAAATGGTTAAATCTGACAGAGAACAGATGATAAATACCGTAGCAACTGCAGAGTACACACTGTGAAGAAAGGTATTTGGAACTATTATATGTTTCGCCCACATTCTCATCATCTTGGATCTGAATCCACATTCTGACCCCTTCTCTACCACTGCCTTCCACTGCTTTCTAGTGTTCTAAAAAAATCCAATAATTCTGTATAAAATAGCCAAATGCACCTCAATTTGAAATTTCTTTAAGAAACCAAGTCAGTGCTTATGACTTCAAACCTCAAGCTCGAACAAAAAGACTACCTTCGCTTCCAGGCAATACAAAGGTAAAAACCTCCTAGGAGTAGGTATCAGCCTTTCCCGGCGACTCGGTTGCCTTTTATCTTCTTAACCCAACTTTAGGTGTACTGGGTACCAACCAGAAGCACTTAAAATATATTCTGAGTTGCAGTTATTAAATTGCTACACATTCCTAAAACAACTGATCTTCTTTCTGGTTTAACATACATTTGTTACGTGTGCTTGGCCTCTGCAGACCAGAAAGGTATGACTTGGCTGAATCCCTCCCATAAGAAAACCACAGAAGTACTTATCCGCCAATCACACTAAACTGAACC